AGAGAAGCTGGAAGGAGAATGAGATATAAGATTTGCATCTGCACTGTATTTACTGTTTGTCGCTCAAGTTCCACTTCAAAATAACATTTTTATCTAAGAATTGAGAAGTCTCAAAATCCAAATGTAACTTATTGTCAGTGAGGAACTGAATTCCTAAAATTGCACCACAGTGAGAAGGTAGTGGAACATAGGTAATCAAAAATGATGTGTGAAATAGTTGCTCTTGAAATTCAATGACCAGGTTAAATTTTTTGTTTATCAATAATTTTTCACCAGCTATACCTTTTAAATATATGTTGCATTTGTTCATAGAAATTTTGTTACTAAAACAGTAAACATACTCAGATTCAATAATGTTAACAGTTGCCCCTGAATCTAATAAAAATTAGAGTTTATTCCTCGAAACAGAACCTCCTACTATAGGCAAAGAAGCGTCAGTAGTGGATACTGCAAACACAGATGGCATCTCCAAAAGGGTGAGTTAGATTTCTCCCCACCTTGAACTAGTTTAAATTAAAACTGGGAGCTTTAGGATTCAGTTTACTAGGACTTGCATTTGAGTGTGAATGAGTTGTCAAAACGGCTGGAACTATTGCAGGGGAATTGTTGCATCGAGCAGTCCGATTAGCTCTCTGTCTTGGCTGCTGACCTGATCTGCTATGCTGTTTAGGCATAACATTAGCATACCAGTATCTGCTTACGTGGCTAAATATATTACAGCGGTAACAGCGAGGCTGTAAAGGTCTCATTTGAGGATTCTGGGACATCAGGAATTGAACCTCAGTCTGTAAAGCTGGGCGATGTTTTCCTGCTGCAGATGTAAATGTCTTATGATTCTGAGGAAATAGCAAATGTCTCAGATGAAGCTGTAAGCCCCCAATAAACACTGATAAAAGTAAATCTTGTCTTTGGGCTTATGCTGCAGGGTCATTATCCCTTTCCACCAAAACAGTTCTGTATGATGGAGCTTCAATGCAGGCAGTAAAATGCCTTATAGACTCGCGTGGCTTTTGAAATGCCTGTATGAGAGTTCATATGTTAGAATGCAAATTATGTACCGATGTGAACCTTCCTTTCAAAGCATTCACTAAAAATGAGAAATTGGTTTCTCTCTTCAACCGAGGGTTGTTTCCAATAAAATCCTCAGCTTCACCACCTATTTTTACCCTAATCACAGTTAATTTGTCACTATCAGAATGGTGGGAGAGTAGGTAGTGGCTGCTATTTGAATACAGTTGTTTAAGTGTTCAGCAACGAGTCTGTTTATGTACTTATTTTTAATAAATTTCATACTGGAAAAAGACATTCACACAGATATGTAGAGCTGAACATTGCCTTCACTTTGAGACAGACTTGGACCAAAAATGGCTATTTATCTTTGGGAACAAGAGGCCAAATATTTTCAAAACTTGAAGAAAACAATTTTACAGATAAATCATTTTGAAAATTAATCAGCTCCAACTCCACTGCAGCAATGTCTTCTTGAAAATCAAAATGCTCCATGACACAAGTAGAGAACTCTTCAGCATCAATCTCTATAAAAAAACGATTTGATAAACTGTGAAACAATTCGAACCCTTTTCAAATCTTGGAAGCGTTTGCTGAATTCACTTCTCAAATCTGAACTAATTTTAACACATTATTTGCTGTTGTGATCAGGCATTAAAGACCCTGGCTTGTCAAGAGTTTAGTATTTACATTCACCTTGGATGATACTTTTTTTCCCACAGTTCCAGCTTTTCTGAGAATGAAGCAACTTTCTGAATGAAGCAGCTTTTCTGAAATTGTCCCACTAATATCTTTATCCTTACCTTGAAGCTGCAATTTAAGGATATCTAGCTTTTCAGTGATTTCTGCAAGAAAAGCAAAATTCTGCAGCCAAACTGGACCAAAATGCAAATCAAATTATTCAAGTTAGCAAATGTCTAATAGTACAAAGTCCGTAATCCGGACTCGTTGGGACTTCGGCGATTCCGGATTAGGGATTTTTCCAAATTATAGATCATCACTTTAAATCTGGTAAGATGGTATGCAGAAATTATAAAATTAAAAATATGAAACCGTAATTTATGAAATAAAGAGCAATTATGATCTAAAGGGTATCAAAATTTACAAAAAAAGCTTAATATTTATTTGTTTACTTTATTAAAATTTCTTTCATTGTAAGTTGTTTCAGTTGCTCAGTTTTTTTGTGCTAATACTTTCTCTTTAATTCTATAAACAGACATAATTTCTTGTTCAGTTACAAAGTTCCACCTATAGGAAGCGGTATTTTCTGGATACTACAGATTTTCGTCGTCCGTTAATCGATTGATGATTGGGGCATTGTTGTCGCAATGAAAAACTTCTATTATATCATCTTCATTTATTACCGTTTCTCCACATTTCTTTACAAAATCCAATAACTGGAAAATTTCACCTTTAGTTTGCGATGTCCAAAAATCTTGAAATTCCCGGCTATCGTCTTCATCGTCCTCACCATGAAATATGGTAGCTGGCCGTAAATTATGCTAAGCATTTTTTTACGTATCTGGAAACACATCCTCCCAATGTGCATGCGCATGCTTCAACACGCATTAACATGCATGCGTAAAGCATACAAAAAAAAAAGTTTGTGGCTTTGAGGTCCAGATTATAGATCATTCCGGATAATGGACATCCAGATTATGGACTTTGTACTGTATACACCACAAAAAACATAACATGCACAACCATGCAACCCTATGTGTATACAGTCAAGTGTGAGATGAGGTTGAGAATGGCAGCCAGCTGGAGAAACAAGCAGTTGTCGTTAGCTCAGTGAAGGAACCATGGTGCCACACAACCAGTATAGTGGTTAGAGTTTTTTGACTGCTGTGCCGAAGGGCCTGGGTCCGAATTTGGGAGTAGACGTGCTTGTTCATAAATGTGTAGTGTCTGTGCGGCATGGTGGCACTCTATATATGTGGCAAGCAAAAAGTCCTCTCAAGAGGTTGGTGGTAGCAGAAGAGTAGTGGAAGACGCTCAGACCCATCCCTTCGGGGTGCTCTCTATCAAAGTTTGGGGCGGATTTGAGCTAAATCGTATTGTCACCTGTAACGTGCTCAAGCCTTTTGCCAACGCCAGGCATAAACTTACGCTCTGCCACGAGGCATTTCGTGGTCTTGGGCTGGTTTATAGCTCAGACAAGTGAGTATTAAGCAATAACAAGAACAACTGGAATCAAAGTTACCCAACCGCAGGCAATGCCATTCTCCCAGAAGAAGAATAAAAAAAATTAACTTCTTTCAGAATTACGAAATATGTTGACATTAACCTTCTCAGCATTACAGATGGAAAATTCCATATAGAAGGCTTTCGTAATCATTACGCATGAAAATTTCTGCCAGATTTTAATGTATCCGATTTTGGGTAGGATGTATATTGGAAGAAAAGGAATCAAAGTACGAAGTGAAAGAATCATTTTTTAATTATAATCAAGTATTTATTCATGTCATTTTGTGAAACTTCAGGGCTATATCATTAATGTTCGGAGGGTTAAAAAATGATTTTTAATAAACATTATCACTCAATTAAACAAATAGTTAGCAGTGGAGAATAAACAAGTGGTCAACAATGGATGCAAATTGACTCTTTCTTGCGCATAGATAGAAATGTGGAGTAAGTTCAAAGAATTGTACTTATCCGTTTAAGATAACATCTCCTAGCTGCTCGGCCTTTTCCATATACTTGTTTTGTGAGACCACAAGAAACAGCGAAGGGCATCTCGAGTTAAACGCTGACTAATTCGATGCAGAGCAGCAGCTCTGTTGAGAGGAACACCAGGTGTAGATAGGCAAACCCTTCTGGAGTCAATTAGGCCTAATACGGTGGGTTAACTGGTTTGGTGAACTCGTCAGGTGGCCTTCGCGGCAAAGGCACATCAGATGCAACAGAAAATGAGCCAGTTGCTTTCTCACTTTGAGGTACTCGTAGTTAACGGGGTATGAAGTACTTAGGTACTTAGCTGGTAGCCTTCCCAAGCCTGGTGTTTAATAAAGGTGATACAAGTAAGTACGAAACCTAATTTGCTGAAGCATTCTGCTGGTACATGAATCTGGTAGGTGAGAAATTTTGTGGAAAAATCTGTCTCTCACGATCGTGCATGCGTTTTTAATTCAGGAAACTTTCACATTCCCAAACACTCACCAAAAGAGATGAGAAAAGTCTATATCCATGTCAAGAACAAAGCAATATAAATTTTTTTATTTTTTCCCAATTACAATTCAGCCTTTTAAATTTTCATGCCAAAAAACTCAGGCAAATAACCCTTTCCATGGGAAAATCTCACGTTCTGGAAATGGGTGGGAAAAACATACATCACTTGTCAGAAATCTACTCTAAAAGCTTAAACCTGCACTTCTAAGTGGAAAATTAAAGTCAGAAAATCTGATCTATTTCTGCTAAAAATATATGTTTAATTGTGAATAACTTCTGAAGCAATCAAGGTAGGCTAAAAAATATAATTCTACCAGAAAGGCACAAATTTTCTGTACAAATGTATATAAATTTCAGTAAGATAAATTAATAATTGATATACATATATGATAGACAATATATATCTCAGCTTCTGACTCTGGGGCAGTCATATGCAGAAAATGTAAAATGATGGATACGTGTGGCCAAATCAGTGGATGATATTTTTCATCTTTTCCTTACACTCTAGTCTCCATCTCCGACTACTGAACTAACCAGGACTCAGCTTAAAGCTTCTTTGTCACTGCCGTCCATTCTTGCTTTTAGTTCTGTATTAATTTCATGTATTATTTCTTTTGATTAGATTACTTGTTTTTGAAGACCTGACAATCCTTAAAACTTATTTTCCATATGAGTTAATTGTAATTCCTTCTTTGTTTTAATCCGGTTTGGTTTACAAAATGTTTTACAAGAATACTGTACTTTTGTAATATTGGAAAAACATTTACGTTTTATTTTATTATACTTTGAAGTAAAGATGCTTAATATAAATTTATATTTTTTAGAATGGTCTCGTCAGAATTTATTAGATGCTTGGATGAAAGATCCTATTTTATGTTGCAAAGAAGTTGGTGTGCCACCTCCATCAAGTGCTCTGAATTTTTCTGCTACACAAGACTCTCTCAAAACATGCTGTGAACAGATTCAGAATGAATATCAAAGTGAAACATTAAACAGTCCTGTTAGAACTGTTCCATTAAGGGAAGAAGTTATGGTAAGTTTGGAAACACTGATTAAAATGACAATTTTATGGTAAAGGCTGCAGTGAAACCTCTTAATGCCATTGCCTACTTAACATGTCATTCCACCTATCATATAATTTTTTTATGTGCTCCAGAGTATCTAAATTACTGATCCTGTATAATCTACTGAAAGTTTTCTTGATATTATTTTAATGAGAGGAGAATCCCACTGAGCTTTAATTTTTATCTTCGGTTTTAACCATTATTCTTTACAAAGAATAGTCGGTATTCATGTAGTATGCAACCTACCACTTTTAGTTAGTAGTTACTTTTAGTAGTTTTTAGGTCATGGGACTAAAACTGGTTGTTATTTTAGTCTTTTCTTTTTTTCTGCCAATTTATTACACAGTTGAATTCAAAAATAGCATTTTAGTGATGCCATCTAAGAAATACAAATCTAACTAACAGCATTAGTTTGCATACTATATGATTACCAGTTAGTGTCTTTTTGTGTTATCCTAATACAGTCAAAAGACTTTAATCCGGACCTCAAAGCTACAAACTTTCTGCGCATGTGTAAATGCATTATGCATTTACGTATGCGCTTAATACCTTTACACCTGCACATATGCATCTATGTGTGCGCATAATACGTTTACGCATGCACGTTTAATGTAGAACGGACAGTATAAGCTAAGCTAAAATTATCTAATTATCTATTTCAGTTAATGTTGCAGATTGCGTTGTTCCTTAATCTTCTAATTGGATCCGGCTTATTATTTTTTGAAGACTGTTAGAGCAATTTTGTAAAAGTAAGTTAACTTTCGATTATGTGAAAAAGAATTTCCCATTCTGGAGCTGCCGAAGGATCTACAAAGCAAAAGCACGTTTCGATGTCCATCAAACAAAAAGTGGAATTGCTGCAAAAAATGGATAACTTTGTTTCTCTAACCATTCCGAAATCTGTTCATTAATTTCACGCTGCTCTGCGGGGGGAGGGGGAAACGTCGCGTCTCGCAATGAACTAAAAGTTGATCTGTCAGCACTATCCTTATCTTCAGGGCAGATGTTTTTATTTTCTTCGGCTTATAATTCCTTAATATATGTAGTATTTCATCTCGAGGTACTCCGTCTTTGATATAATTTAAATCAAATTCCTCGTCATTATAAATATCACAAATACACATCAAATAGTTTTCTGGTTGCAATTTTCTAATTTCGACTATGCGTAATGTATGCTTATCGCATGCGTGCGTTGAAAGAAATGTTTAATAAAGTAAACAAATAAATATTAAGCTTTTTTTTTTTGTAAATTTTGATAACCTTTAGATCATAATTGCTCTTTATTTCATAAATTATGGCTTCATATTTTTAATTTTATAATTTCTGCGTGCCATCTTACCAGATTTAAACTGATGATCTATAATCCGGAAACACCGATAATCCGGAATCGCCGAAGTCCTGACGACTCCGGATTAAAGACTTTTGACTGTATTTACTTTCTTCTAGAATGACAAAAAGAATCAGCTCATTATAAGAGAACATGAAGTCTCCATTGTTGCTGCAGATGACTAAAGTTCCCTTCCTAAATTTACCTACAGAAAGAGGATTTTTATCTCTCATTATTTATTGTTTAAAAAAATTATCTGACAACTTACTTTATGACTAGGTTTCAGAGGGAACCTCCTAAGACAGCATTTCTTATGAGAACCCAATCTTTCTTCTGCTGAAATTTCCTTTCTCTGCAAATTTTTTTCATAAAGATTTAGCCTTTTAATTTTAAGGGGGGTGAGAGGGAAGTATGAGCACACTTTCTTAGAAATCAGAATGAGAGAGATCATCAATGTTTAAAAATCCATGTTTCTGTATTTCTTTATACAAACTGTGCAATTATATAGAGTTGTAGTGTAAATGAATAATCATACAAAAATCAGAATATCACCATTTTTCTTGGACACAATGTATCTTGGACACACTATTATTCATTTAGATTGAAGTATAAACTCCTGATTTAATTTTGGAATTATTTGAAATTACACCAGTATAAAATTAGTAGCGCAAAATCTTGAGTTTGGCGTAGATTTAAGTCAAGATTTCAATTAATTTCGAGGGCAAACGAGTTCAAGTCCCTCTTCATCAGAAGCAAAGAAATCTGCAAGACTGGAAAGCAGTAGGAATAACGGCCGTATTTATATGCCACAGTAAAGCAAAATGAGAAGGTAGTGCCATCTATCAGCAAAAATATTAACAAAATTAAGAAATTAAGTTAATAGAATTTTAAACATGTAAGGAAGGTTTGGATTGGACTTAAAGTCAGTTCTAAACAAGATAAATTTTTGTGAATTTGAAAGGCTCAAAAAAATCCAATTCAGCAATTGAAGAAGCTTTTTGAATGATTTTTGCATGCCGAAAGTCAAAATTATGATTAAATTTCCAACAGTGATTAGCTATCAAAGATTTGTTAATTTTGCCTTTTCGGACGTAAGATTCACATTCCTTGATATGAACTGATCCAGTTTCCCTTAGAAAGTCCTCCACGAAGGCATCCCTCCCCTTAAGCAGATAGCCCTAGTGTGCTTTACCATAATTAAATACACCTACACCCACCTTGATATGAACTTCAATGCTCTTTTAGTTTGGCAGTTTGTCTCAAACCACACTGAAATGATATGCTATAAATTCCCTAAGAATTAAAGTTAGATATGGAATCTTAAATAGTCAAACCATGGATTTTATTGATATTCGAAAAAATAACATGACAAATTGAACTTCCGAAGAATCCTCGCAATTTTATACCTGACAGAAGAACAAAATGGAAGCACGACGAGATTGTTAATGTTATTTCTAATAGTGGAATGCCTTTGATGGTAAACAAAAAATTTTCTAAAGTCTTTATCAATGACTACGGGAGAAAATCCTTGGTCACTGGCAACTTATCGCAAATAATTGAGTTCATTAGCAAGCAGATGTTCTAAGGTAGAAACTGAGAGTGCAAAATACATAATAAGAAAAAGAAGCCATTTTTGTTTAGTCGGCTGACATGACTTAGCTAAATGTCGTATTACTAATTTTATGCTTCACTTGGCATGTTTCTCATCTACTTTCATTTTTCCTTTCCTGAGAAAGTTCTTTCATTTGCCCACTTGCACCATTTTGGTTTTTGCTTCTCTGTTCCATGTAGTTGCTGGATTCTCTGTTTTTTTAGATGTGGGTAAATTTTTGTTTGTAATTTTTTTGTTTGCATTCTCTTGGTTCATTTTGTCATATTTTACCATCTTGGACTTTCCCAATCCCATTTACTTGTGTGTATTTATTCTTTTTTATTTTTTTCTCCAGTTTTTGTGTTTGTTTCTCTTTTGCATTATGTCAACAGACAACAACTGATTTTGTAAGTTACACCTTAAGTGTGTCTTGAATTAACCGATTTTGTAAGTTACACCTTAAGCCTAGGAAATTCTTGAATTATCTCTATCCCAAATTTATACAAGTCAAATGCAGTCTTAAATCCTCTGTTCACATTTAAAAAATTATGCATAAAAACAAATTGTCACTGCTTCATCATATGATAAGAAACACATGCATACATTTGTCTAAAATTGAATGTGAATTATATTACCTTCAGTTAACAATTTCCAATTCTACTTTAAACTTTTTGTCTTTTGATCATAAATCTTGGTTTAGAACTGATATCACTTGTCAACACTATAAAAAAGTCCTTGTTTCTAAATTTCAAAAGCTTACACCTCAAATGGCTAGTACCTCCCACCTTCATAATCTTCCCAGTGTAAATACGAATCTCGTCATTAATATCTCTAATATCTGGTTGTAATGAAGTTTGCCACCAAAAAATGCTCTTAATAAAATTAGAAAAAAGACACGAAAGCAGTACCTTTAGTGTGGGTAGTAATCACCACCCAAATCTATGATTTTCTGCCAACATTTTGGTAGTTTTTCAAACCCTTTTGGCCCAGAAACTTTCTGGCCATGAGTCCAAAAGCAGATCAACCTCATTTAAGATGTCCTGTGCAGAATGAAAGATAGCACCAAGATGTAGCTGCAGGGGTGAAAAAGGGTAGAAATCCAACGGAGCCATGTCAGGGCTGTATGTTGGGTGTGGCAATAGATCCCATTTGAGTCCATATAGGGTCTAGCCAATGAATGCAGATACGGGTTCTTCCGTTATCTTGATGGACCATTACTTTTTTGCACTGAACTCAGTTTGATGTTTTTCCTTGCTAGTACAGTCAAATACCGAAAATCCGCCGACCTGAAATCAACAAACTCCTGAAATCCCTGTTGCCTCTCAAAATATAAACATTCAGTTTAGCTTCCGGAAACCACAATATTGAGTACGAAATATCGAAGAAAAAATACTTACCGAATAATGGCATCATAATTATCAAATAATAATGAGTCATAACAGAAATACTAAATTATTGACATCATGATAAAAGTTTTTTCCCCTCTAATCCGTATCGAGATAAAAAAGCAGACGATTCACTCAACTCTTCTTTCAAGTTCACGATTCAAGTTGTATTTTCTGAGCTTTGTTATTTCACGAGATTATTTAGTGCTGCCCTTTTTTTTTTAATCTGGATATTTTGTGGATAAATTAAGAATATTTTTAATTTCAGCCCTTTTTAAAATACAATTACAGATAAGAAACATATTCATGATTTTACTGCTTGCCATGTTGAAAAACGTAAACACGTTGCATTGACGGTAATGCAAAAAGTGCAAATTCCACAAAAGATAGAGGCAGGTGCTACTCCTCGGTTTATAGCAGAATCATGCAGAATTGCGACACCATTGTGTATGATATACGGAAAAATAAAGAAAAGCTATTAAAAGCTTATAGCAACAGTGATTCTAACACCGCAATCTGAAACCGAAAATCTTTGCATGAGGCGAAATCGGCAAACCTTGATGCTGTGTACATATAATACAATGAATAATATAATCAGTTTATATATGTAATAATAATTTAATGCATATAATAAGTTCAATAACGTATATAATAATTTAATTTAAT